TATTTCTGACGCGCTGGAACCACATGTGAACCACAGTTGCGTGTCACAAAAACACTCTGTTATCTATTAAAAATGTTATTGAAACCCATTTTCGGTGCGCAAATTACCAGTTGTACACGGAAGTTTTTAGCATTCTACCAGAAGACGCTGGTCGCTATGGCGCCCTCCATGCAGCAGCCATGAAAAAGGTCTATATAAAATCATATAAACTCAACATGTTTTTCATTAGTTCAGCCATTATCCATTTGCCAGGTTCTGGAAGTATATTTATTTGGAAAGGCTAGTTTTAATTTTTGTGGGGTATCATCGGATAAAACAATTGTTTCATTATCCATAACCCTCACTGCTGAAAATAATTTGGAATCCAAAAAATAAAACTAGAATAAGAGTTATGTTGCTGCGAGAAGAAATATTTTTTTTTTTTGAGTTGGGTTTAAATACCTCCAAATGTCTATAATATTCTCATAATTTAAAAAGTTCTGCATTAGTTTGACTGATTTGGATATAGACTGTTGTTTACTCGATGATCTGTCCAATACCGTAGCTATCCATCACCAAGTTAAAATCCCCGGCTAGGATAAGGTTGTGCCTGTGAAGCTTGGGGAGAATTGTTAATATTGAGTTTATAAACTTCTCGTCCTCAAAGTTGGGAGCATAGATGTTTGCTGTTGTTACTTGGGTGTTGTAAAGTTTTCCCATTACAATACTATATCTACCATTTGGATCAGAAATGATGTCTGATGAAGTAAAAGGGATATTTTTATTAATGAGGATAGCCCTTCCCCATGACTTACTATTGACCCTTCGTTAAGCCACAACCAAAAACCGCCACCCACCAATCGTGGTTAGCAACCGTAGCTACGCGCAGAAGCTCTGTCAAGCTTTCCAGCGAGGGAAACAGGCCAAAGCATTGTGCAAATCTGACACCCGGTCTCCTTAAAGTTTGGACGGGATGGTGGAATTTTTTCCCTTTTCAAAACCAACAACCCAACAGGTAGAAATGCCAGTGTGGTTTAAGCTGTGTGAGGGGTTTTCCTTTCCTTTGAGTTAAGTTGGTTTTCCTTTGATATTCCTGACATATTCAGTGAAAGACGGCAATAACTCACAAACCTCTTACCCTAAACAGATCTAAACTGTGTTTCCTACAAAAACACAAAGTTGGTTATGTTTCACAGCTGTCTTATTCTTTTTTTTCGCTCGATATTATGAGTAATGCTCCGTTTAAGCCTTCGCCATAACCTTAGTAACTTAGTCATACTAATAGCGAATAGGTCATAATGACATGAGTTATTGATCCAGAAAATATGAATCTGTGAATCTGTTGCTAACTTTACTGAACTTTATATTTCCATCTATTTCAAGCTACGAACATTTAAAATTACAAATCAACATAACAAAACAGAGATATGATCACAAACTGAGCACTTGCAATCAATATACTTTACCAGCAGCTGTTTTTTAGTCATTTATAAAGAGCACACAAACTGACAGTTTGATAGGTACTGTACATTGTTATGGGTCAATGATGCTAATGTTCGACAAAAATCCATCAATTTCCCCTTTCTGGCTGTTCTTTCTATGAATGAACTATGTAAAAGCACTGTCCATGCGTGTTTCCTCATGGGTTAGTAACGCTATATTTGATTGCACAACAATTAATCCATTAGGCTTTTTGGCTAAAAATAGAGAAATCACGGTTTAATTAGTTATTATTAGATTAATTTTAAATTTCTCCTCTCCTGCTGAGCATGAGCTAATGTTGAATGGTTAGCATATGAGGCTGCTAGGCTAAACTAGCTTCAATATTCATTGAATTATTCTCGAATCGGTTGCCTATTATGTGGTTGGTATACTCCTGTAATGCATACTGCAGTCCTTTTTTGTCTGGCTTTCTCGGAAATCTCACCTGTTCGTCAAAAATGACTAATTATATCCCTGGGAATGTCTGACACTGGCGCACATTGTAAAAAGCCATGCCAGGCACGAAAGCTTGACAGGCGTAGCAACAATAACTAAGGAGGGCAGTGCTTAGCAAAGGGTCAATTAAATTTAGAGTGGAAAACATGGCCAATCCAATTTCTGTATAGTTGTTTGTGTGCTTGATTTTTAAGATGCGTCTCTTGCAAAAACGGGACCTCTGCTCCCAGGTTTCTAAGATGAGCAGAGCTAGTATATTACCTCTTTTCACAGTACCCTTCAGGCCTTTACAGTTCCAAGTGACATACGGGACATCAACCTCTGTTATATTTCAACTTTTATATTTTTTATAAATTTGATACAATTTCAAAAAATATTTTTTCACATTGTCATTATGGGGTATTGTGTGTAGAATTTTGAGGAAATAAATGAATTTAATACATTTTGGAATAAGGCTGTAACATAAAAAAATTCAACAACAACATAAAAACCCTCAAACTTTCCAACATTAACCCTTTCCACTCCCCGCCACTTCCCAAACAAGTAGAAGGGAAATAACAAATTTACCAGGAAAAGCATTTGCTGTATTTCACAGCTTGAGGAGAGAAAGCGAGATAAAGCTAAACAGAGTTCTCTCTGCTCCTTTTTAGGTTTTTGCCTATACAAAATACAAAATTCCTGCTAAAATTTTAAAAAGTCAGTTTAATGATTGAAGGTTTCCAAAGAACTGTCATGCTCCCTTGTAAAAGTATTTTGCACACTGCAAAAAATGCTTTTGTTACTTTGATTTTTTGTCTTGTTTCTAGTCAAAATATCTAAAAATTCCTAAATCAAGAAGAATTTTCCAGACAAGCAAAACATATTGTCTTGTTTTGAGAAATAATATGCCAATATTAAGTGAGTTTTTCCTTAAAACAAGCAAAATAATTTGCCAATGGGGTAAGCAAATTACTCTTACGTCAAAAGAAAAAACAAGATTGTTTTGCTTACCCCATTGGCAGATTATTTCGCTTGTTTTAAGGAAAAACAAGGTGACCTTTTCACCTACACACTTGGTGACCTACACACTTCAATAAAAAAAAAATCTGTACATAATAATCAAGTAGATTATTTACATCTAAACTGTTTCATATTTTTATTGCAGAATTGGTCATGTTTTTTCTCTTTCTGTCTTTAGTCTGCATAATTGCAGTATTACAGAGGAACATGGTGAGAACCTGACTTCAGCTCTGAAATCAAACCCATCACACCTGAGAGAACTGAACCTCAGTGGGAATCAAATAAGAAACACAGGAGTGAATCTCGTATGTGACGTACTGAAGGATTCAGGCTGTAGACTGAAGAGACTGAGGTGAGGAACATTCTCAATACAAGAAAGTTTTTGTTAAATGTGTTTTCTAAAGTGTTATTTACTTTGATAAAAATGTGACTTGGAGTTACTGAGGTATGGGGTATTGCAGATAACAGCTAAAGCAAAGATCTAGTTGTGATGTTTTGCTACCATAATCACAATGTTTGTCTTGAATAGTCATTAGTATTAAAAAAAAACAAATGGTTAATGGGATGAACGTTGTTATCTCTCTCTTCTGAGCCTCAAAACTTTATTATTATTAAAAAGTTATTCTTAAGTGTTGGTGTTTATTTCCAGGCTCAGTAAGTGTGATCTAACAGAGGAAAGCTGTTCAGCTCTGGCTTCAGTTCTCAGATCAGACTCCAGCAGTCTGAAGGATCTTGACCTGAGCAATAATAATCTGCAGGACTCAGGAGTGAAGCTGCTCTCTGATGAACTGAAGGACAGTAAACTGGAGAAACTCAGGTGAGCTGGGGCCTCATGTACGAAGACTTGCGTGGAAATCATACTAAAACATTGCGTACGCACAAAGCTGTAAATGTGCGTACTTAGAAAAAAATTCAGATGTATGAAACACTGCGTACGCCGAATTCCACGCATATTCTTTTGTACATCCGAATGAACATGAAACTGAGCGCAACATGCACAAGCGCAAAACTTCTCCCTGCCTCCTCCCCCGTATGAATATGCAAATGACTCGAAAAATCAATGGCAAAATCAAGCAAAAAGAGAAACTTTGAACAGAATGTGAATTGGAGGTGCTGCTTTCGGAGGTAGACCGGAGAAAAGCGGTGTTATTTGCAAGTTTATCCTCCGGAATTAATAACAAAAGAAAAAAATTGAGTGGGAGAGTTTAGCGGACGCGGTTAACACAGTTGGGTCTGAACATCGCACTGAGTAAATTAGAAAAGAAATAGTGTGGTTTATAAGTGTAAAATGTTGCAACATCCTTAACAGTCTCAGTGGCGCAGCTCGTAAAACGCATGTCAACATGTTTTGACACGTTCAAGCATGAACTCGGTTCGAAACCAGCGTCTGCTAAACTCTTTCTTCTTTTTTCCCTGCTACATATCAGATTTTGCCAACTATTTATCACAAGAAAGAGAAGTAGGAATCATTAATAAGTCTATGCATCATATTTTGTTTGCACATTTATTGAATGGAAATGTTTCTGATTCACGCATGCAAATTCATCTTCAGATAGTGTCTTTATAGCAATGTGCGTGCGGTAGATCGCTCAGATTACATTGGGAAAACAGGCGACCGCTGCAAATTGTGCTTTAATGTTTAGCTGGTCAAATGTATGGTATGGAAACCTTATATATCTGCTAGATGAGCCCGTCTCATACAGCTGCCATTGCACGGCTTAGACACTTTATAGAGAGGAATTTAACACAACTGCCTCTAGGAGTCGCCAATGGAAATAAAACAGACACGCACAAAAAATGTGCATACGCCAGCCATAAAGCTGGCGTGGAGGTGTGCACATTCCCATGTTTATTTCATCATTAGTAAATCCAAACGTGAGTGATTCTGAGCGTGAAACCTGGCATGCGCAAAGTTTTTGTGCGTACGCAGCATTGATACATGAGGCCCCTGATTTTTGCTTGCCTGCATAAGCCTATGATGTCTAAACTTTATCTGAAAATGTGTTTATTCTTAGTGATTCAGAGTTTTGTGTATTAACCCAAACTACAATGTTCTACTTATTTCCAAATTCTGTTTCCTCTAGTCTTTCAGACTGCAGTATCAGTGAAGAAGGTTATAAAGCTTTGGCTTCAGCTCTGAGATCAAACCCTTCACACCTGATAGAGCTGGATCTCAGAGGAAATGATCCTGGACAATCAGGAGTGAAGGAGCTCACTGACTTACTACAGGATCCACACTGTACACTGAAGACACTGAGGTGAGACATGAGGAAAATAAATATTAAAGTGAATTATTTAGAGAGTATTTCATTAAAATTATATGATGGACAATTTGTTGCATCAAAATAAATAATCAAAAATGTCAGTAGAGTTTAGTCGTGTTGCAATATTCAGTTCAAAATGATAAACATAATGAGTCATTGACTGTTAGGTTAGTCTTTATTGTAATGCTTTGATATTACAAGTGCAAATTGTGTTATTGTGGAACCTCTATTAAGGATATTAGTACATAGTTTAAATGTTTCTGAGCACTCTTCAATTAAATTTCCATCAGCTTAGATTGACCATAAATGTTTGACTCTACAGCAGGTCTGAGAGACTCCAGATCTCAACACACTTGCAGCTTCACAAAGCAAACATTTCTGAACATTTAGTTTAAAGCCAGAGAAATTTTAAGGCTTTTAAAGTTCATTCTGTATTGTCCTGAAATATATAGTGTATACACTATAGAGAGCTTGGAGTTAGTCAATTTTGACAATTTTGTCTTTCATACTTTGTTTCAGCATTAAGTGTCACGCCTTTTTATTTTTATTTTATTATTATTATTATTATTATTATTATTATTATTATTATTATTATTTAACCTGTTAGCCTGCAAACAATGTTTTAGAAAAATATGTTAAAAAAATACTGAAAAAAACTAAAAATAAATTTTTGACATAAGTTTTGACACTTTTCATCACAAGCTCAAGTCTGTTTGAAAGCAGACACAATGACAGTGTGTTACAATCAGACCAAAAATTAATTATTACATTTTAAGATCCTGTCTAAAACACTCTTGCAAAATGCGAACTTATACTCATTTACATCTCCTCAGCATGTAAAGGAAAAGAGAGAATAGATGACAGCCGGTTTTTTTTTAACCATTAGAAATTCTAACAAATAAAATAGAATAAACAAAAAAGTCATTATTGATTTGAAACAATGTTCATTTATTAATAAGACAAAGTTATTTTAATAAAGGTATCAAGTATTTTATGGTTTTGATACTCTGTATTAGAGACCTAAAACTGAATGAAAATAATAAAGCACAAACAAACGTGTAAGTAGATTATTTTAAAAATTTGATTTACATATTTTAAAATCTATAGTTAGTTTATAGTTTAATTATATGGTTAGTAAGTTTGATGACACCGTTTTAATTTATACTGTAAATTCATGTAATTAAGAAAAAATTAGGAGGACAGTTTCATCCTGCAGGTTAACTTGAACATTTATATATTTTTTGTTGCAGTTTTTGTAAAAGTGTTATAAATGGGTAAATCTTGTCCTCTCAGTATGTTTTGTACTGCAGTAAACAGTGATAGTAGTTCAGAGCTGACTCCTGCTTGATCTTCTACTCTTCAGGTTTTTGAGTCCTGCTGCTGATGAATTCTGTCAGTTTGTGACTGGTGTTGTGGGTGAAAACCCGTTACTCCTGAAAGAACTGAATCTGAGTGAACGTGAACTAGGAGACACACGAGTGAATCAACTCTCTGCTCTACTGCAGGATAAACACTGTAGACTCAACACACTCATGTGAGTATCTTGCATATAAATGTAATTATTATTACATGACTACCAGTCAATGATCCTTTCTCATGTATAAATACAGATACTTATGTTTAAAATGACTCTGGTAAAGCTGAAGAACTCACTTGTTGCAACCTCAAACAAGGCCACCACAAATAAGGAGAAAATGAGTGCATTTGCTCTGAAAAAACTGTAATTTATTCACCCATTTCATTAAAACAAACTGACAGTGCTTGAAAATGGAGAAGTTAATTTATACAAAAAAACTTACATTTTTAATTTTGATGTAAAAATGTTGCTGCCCATTCTCAGTAGGAAAATATGCAAGCAACATTGCTGAGAGTTTCCCCTTTAACCATCATCTTCACACAAACTCATCATGTTCAGCATGCAGTTTTGCAGCTCCTAAATCAATATCAACAGCAGCTATTCATGTACATACATTCTGCAAAATAATTCTGTAGGCCTATCTTTATAATAAAAAAGTCTTAAACTTAACTCTTTATTTTGTCTAAAACATTATTTTTCTTTTACTAAAATAAATACTTAAAATATTTGGCTACAAATTCTTTTACAGTGCTAGATATACAGCTCAATTTCCTCAATTTATTTATGTTATCGTTAATAATTAATGGTATTCATCTATGTGAAGACGCTGATCATGTTAATGATTCTCACAATAGTTGTCAACAATGATTTGTAGGTAGGAAACAGAGAAATATCAATATGCAACACTTTATTTCTATAAATCTCTGCAAGTACAGTATATACATTTTCGAACTTTCACTTTAACAATATTTTCACTAGCCACTAACATCATCATCATCATCATCCTTAGCACGACAATCCAATACTGGATCCTGGCTGCCTCAAGTAATTTCCCCCAATGTTCTCTGTCCAGGGCAACTGCCCGCCAATTCCTTATTCCTAAAACATTGGCGTCACTGCTAATGCAGTCTCACCATCTTGGTTTAGGCCTTCCTACTTTTCTTTTGCCTACCGGGTCAGTGCTAAAGATTTTTTTTTGGAATGGCATTATCATCCATACGTATGACGTGTCCTGCCCCCCGTAGCGCGCAAGTCTGATATATTTAACTATATCATATTCCTTATACAAGGCTGCAAGCTCATTGTTGTCACGTATCCTCCATTGATTATTGTCTTTTATTGGGCCATATATTCTCCTCAGAATTTTTCTTTTAAAAACTTAAGAGCTTTTGTTCTATGGCTTTTGTATGGTTTTGACACTCTAAACACACATTAGCTAGCATCCAGGCATTTCGATTCTGTATAAGGCTCAAAAAAGACTTTATTTAAGCATGCATATACTGTTTTAACAACTTTCGCTATAGGGCAGAGTATATAGATTGCCAACACACATTACATATTGTTTGGAGTGAGTTTTTGAGTTCTAATAGTTCTTTTCAATAGTGTGTGTCTGTCTCGGGTTGCAGCGATGCACCAAAGGGACACAGTTTCTCCCCTCTTCCCATCTGCAATATAGATTAAGCAGCAGCAAATGGAACTCCAGCGTCTAATAAGCGACTCAGGGTAACACTGGTGTCATGCCCAGCGACATTTGCTCCAGATTATCTGGAGCCAAACGACAAACTTTTAAGCCAGAATAAAATATGGGCTGAAGAGAGAAGACTACCTTTCTTCAGCTGCAACCCATTATGTTCCACATGTTTTTACAGACTATCAATTGCGTAATGTAAATCAACATTCAGATTTTACTGACATTATCACAAAATCTACAGCATTTTTAACATAGACACTCTTCTAACCATTGTAGTTGCCCTAAGTTGGACAATGGAGAGAGTGGAGATCACACCCGTTCTCGTCTTTAAGCACAGTTTTGCCTTCCCATCTGAAAAAGCCTTGTTTTTCTTAAAAATGGAATGTGTAGCTCTAAATGATGCTTCTGTTGCTTTTGGAACGTTAATCATGATTAATCACAATTAAAAGACTAAAACTTGTAATTTTGGCTGCCAGAAGAAGCATCAAGGGTACATCAAAGACACACACGCGTTGTGTCACACCAAAGACTATAGAATTCTTAAAGGTTCTTTGGTCACACCATCTCTAAACATTTCATTCAAACTTTGAGAGATACGGACACCATCGGCAATGTTAAGCGTTTGTTCTTGTTGTTAGGAAACGCGCACACACACACACACACACACACAATGCGCGCAGTACAGCGCACCTGGTGAGCGCTTCCCTTCAGCTTCATCAACACGCAAGATCGCGTTCATCAAATTTGCTTACACTAAGCGTATGTATGGCTAAGTATGGCTATATTTTTTTAAACAAGGATTCTAGTAGCAACATGAAGCAGACTTTTTACAAAGGTTGCATTTAAGGGCGGGTACACTTGAAGCTTAATCACCTATTTTGCTGCAGTGCAAAGTTCAAGCTTGGTGAACTCTGACCTGCGAAATCGCATCCCTTGACTGCATGAGACCAATCGAGGATGAAAACATGACCTCTCTGGACAGAAATTTAAAACATGGAGCAATCGCACGCTTTTTTAAATGTCTAATAAGCTTGTTAAATTCCGATCCTTTTCACAGCGCCGCACCACAGTATATCGCATGCTCAAAATCTAATGTGACCGCAGCTTTACTCTTGCTGGATGTGGGTGATCCTTCTTGGTGGTATGCTGGCATTACCCTGGATATCATGACTCTTGATACATCTCAAAGACTTGTCTTGGTCACAGATTCTCGAGCAAGACACACTAACACTTTGTCCTCTTTTGACCTTTTGACTTCATAAATGTCATCCACAATGTTGAGTGCATTGCAATATTTTAAGCAAAACTGTGCTATTACTCTGTTAATTAAACCTTCACACTCTGCTCTTACTAGTGGAATGTGCAATCAATGAAGACTGGCCACCAGCTGCTCAAATTTAGCCATGAAATATCCAACACTAAATTGGCCAGTGTTTCAGTTTTATTGTCCAACCCCTGTATCTGCTTTATTGTCTATGTTTACATGGACATCAGTAATCGAATTATTTGCCTTAATCTAAATAAAACAATCCTATGATGGTGTTTACATGAGTTGCAAAATGCGGTGAAAATTCTATACAATGGTAATAGTTTGATTAAGGTGTTTGCATGTCTGAACTGCACTTCAATAATAAGACTAAAATCGGCATACTCCACGTCTTAATTCGATTTCTGTTTAGTTCAGTTATGACTTTTGTCAGATTAAGGTAATCAAAAATCACTGTTTACATGGTAGACTCTTTATCAGAGTATTGTATTAACATTAGATTATTAGTGTCCATGTAAACGTACTCATTGTTTTTAAACAGCGGCTCACATGCAGCTCCTAAAATTTGAGTGTTTGTTTGCTAGAGAGGATTAACCACTTATTATATAGAACCAATTAGTTAACAGTCCTGTGCGTCAACAAGTCAGAACATAATGAAACATTAGCAAATAATCAGCTAATGATTAATTAAGGCAGACTTAAGATGAATTGACAGTTAAAATATTGTTATTAGGTAATTTATGCATAACTAATAACAATGTGTAGATTACCTGATGTATGAATCATACAAAATGCTTGTTGATTGCTCATGCAATTATCAATATTATATAATTTAATTTTTCATGAGTTATACAATAACTTGTAATTGTTTGTGCATTAGTTAAGCATTATATAATGCATATTATTGCAAATGTGTTTTTAAGTGTTACCAATATTATATACATACACTCACATGCATACACACACTCATGCACGTGTGTGTCTGTGTGTATGTATGCATATGCATGCATGAGCAGATGCACACTCGCACATAAACACACACATACACAAATACACCTGTGCATGATCAATGGTTTTAGATCATTTCACTGTGTGGATCCCAGATAAGGAATGTATTTAGCCAAAGGAAATTAAACTCATCACACCTGAGAGAATTGAACCTCAGTCATAATCAAATAAGAAACAAAGGACTGAATTTCTTATGTAACATACTGAAGGATTCACACTGTGTGTAAACTTGAGATACTGAGGTGATAAACTTTCACAATGGGAGAAAGAAAGGCTGTTTTTGTTAAATGTGTTTTGTAAAGTGTCACTTAGTTTTTGTAAAATGTGACTTGAAGTAACTGAGGTGTGTGGTGTTACAGATAACAGCTAAAACAAAACGTAGTTGTGATGTTTTTAAAATGTAACAATACATAGTACAGGTTAAAAAATAGCAGTTCTTATAAAGACTATTAAAATATCTCATATGTTCCTGAATGTGGGCAGTATGCAAAGCTTTTTTCATTATCAATAAAATAATACACCTTGTAGTTTTGCATCTATTAACATTTTTGTTCTCACTATAGTGTCTTGCATGAACTGTAATTCATTCTCAATTTTTAGACGTGTATTAGTAATATTTTAGTTAGTGTTAAAAATACATTTCAGTTCTACCATAATCACAATATTTGACTTGAATAGCCAATACTGTGAAAACAAATGGTTAATGAGATGAATGTTATGTTATCTCTACATTTTGAGCCTCAAAACTTTATTATGATTAAAATGTGACTCTTCAGTGTTGGTTTTTATTTTCAGGCTCAGTAAGTGTGATCTAACAGAGGAAAGCTGTTCAGCTCTGGCTTCAGTTCTCAGATCAGACTCCAGCAGTCTGAAGGATCTTGACCTGAGCAATAATAATCTGCAGGATTCAGGAGTGAAGCGGCTCTCTGATGGACTGAAGGACAGTAAACTGGAGATACTCGGGTGAGCTGATGTCTAATACATTCAACTTCCCTGAATCTTTGTTTTTGTGAAGAGAATAATTTCAATTAATAATACAATTGCAAAAACTTTATTTCTAAAATATACTAAATACAGAAGTTAGTACAACTTTCCTAATGGTTCTATGTTGCTAAGGGTATTTTCTGGAAAAACTGATTTTCATAAGTTAAATATTTGTTTCTGTTTCACACTTTTAGACTTATTAGAATTATTCAGTTAATTAATATACTATTCTCTGTAGTTTCTTAGGCTGCAGTATTACTGAAGAAGGTTATAAAGCTCTGGCTTCAGCTCTGAAATCAAACCCTTCACACCTAATAGAGCTGGATCTCAGAGGAAATGATCCTGGACAATCAGGAGTGAAGGAGCTCACTGATTTACTACAGGATCCACACTGTACACTGAAGACACTGAGGTGAGGCATGAGGAAAATAAGCATGGATGTGAGTTATTTTGTTATTTAAAGAGTAGAATTTCACACACACACAAAAAAAAAATGTTGTATCAAATGCGTTAGATCTTCACAAGCAAGAAGCGTCAATGCTCTTAGAAATGTTTGTATGACTAGAAATGATAAATCTAAATTTCTGAGTTTCAAGAAATATTCTTAAGATCATGTCTTAAATACTCTTACTATTTCAAAATCTTCTCAGCATGTAAAGGAAAAAACAGAACAGAAGACAACCTGTTTCTTTAGCCATTAGAAATTCTTACAAAAAGTCATTATTTTGTTGTAACAATGGCCATTCAATAATAAGACAAAAAAGCCAGTTTCAATAATTTACATTTAGATGAGGATTGATAAGTAAATGCATGTTTGGCATGCTGTCCCAGGAGAGAGCCCCAAGTTTGGAAGATCCTTGAGCACAGTGCTCCCTCCCGTATCATCTGGAAAGAGGGGAATCTGACGGAATCAGAGATGGGCGCATGACTCCTGCTGGAGTCGAAGCTAAGGGTAACACTCCTGTGGCAGTCAGAGCTGTAGGGTAAGGGATCCTGTAAGAGTCGGAAAAATAGTGGGGGAGGGCGGCTGGTGTGACTCCTGCGGGAGTCTAAGCTTAGGGTAACACTCCTGCAGGAGTCAGAGCTGCAGGGATTGGAGTGAGGGAGAGAGTAGCGGAGTTGTGCTCACGCTCAAGGTAGGAAAAAGAAGGAAGGGGAAAGGGAGAGCATGGCAGAGTTGTGCACAAGCTAGAGAGAGGAGAGAGAGGCGGAGAAAAAATTGGATTCTACTTAAATAACTATTAATAGAACTGCTTTGGATATTCTTTATAGTGTTGATGTGACCGAGCAGGCCTTAGCTCGCTCTGGTGGGAAAAATTGGGTTTGTAGGGAGAACAAAAGGATGGCTTACTCGACAGCACTCCAGTAGTGTTTTATTTACAGTGCTGGCAGGTAAAAAAACAGACCACAGTGACAAATATATATGCAAGTGTCTAAAAAAAAAATCCTAAATACCATAGAAACCAGAGGTACCACTGTAACACTCTTGCTGACTTGGTTAACAAGCAAATGTCTTGGGTTTTGGCTGCTGCTTTTATAGGCCAACTCGCGCCTTTTTAGGGACCCACCACTCTGCAGGTAAGTATCAGGTAGGTGTAGTTTTATTTTCACACATAAACACTTAGCACATAATTATCATTTAAACAACACTAATTATCTTCCCATACATTTTATTTCAATATTTCATTTGTTCTAAACACATAATAAAAACGTATTTTACACTGTTAGATGCACCACAATGCTTTCCCTTTCCCATCACTTTGTGCCGCCGTGTCTAGCGATGACATCATAAGCAGGCTCCGCTACCTGATCAGGTTGGCTGACACAATGGCCACACAGAAAGACTTTACTAAACAGACGATTGACAAGGACAACAAACAGGACAAAACAGTGTGTGTGTGTGTGTGTGTGTGTGTGTGTGTGTGTCAAGAAGGATTTTGGGGGCGATGGCCTGTAAGATGGGGGAGATGGAGATTTCAGGGAGGTGTCTTTGTTATTTCTGTTCTTATGTCGCTCTTCCTCTTTATTGTTGCATTGCTCAAAGGATGTTTAATTATGCGACGGATGCTGAGAATAACTTATTAATAATGTCCAGGTGTTGATTGGTTGTTAAAGTGGAGAGGATGTTTTAGAAGGTTCAGGTTGATCTTGGTCTGGCAGGGAGAAAGTTGGCTGGGGGTATGGAGCATGTCGTGAACTGCTGGCCTGGGAGGTTTCTCTTGATGATGGGGTAGAAGACAGGAGTCTGTAGTGATGGAGTAGAGTTTGAGGAGGTCAGATTTGTTGAGACTGCATAGACGTTAATGTCGGTGTCAGTAAAGGTTTTTACAGTATTCTGAAACTGATCTATTTATTTTTTATTATTGTTATTATTGATGGAGCAGAGGAAATGGTGGAATTGTAGGTTAAGGCTGGACCTGGATGATCCTTAATGATGGGGAGGTTGATATATATATCATATATGGGCTAAGGGTAGAGTAGAGGGTTAGGAGTTAAAATTATAATTAGGGGTCTGTAGGTGCATTACCACTGGTATGTTGAGGTATGGAGGAGACAGCAATTTCAAATAAATCAAGTGGACCTTGAGTTTGATAGTCATACGTAATGGAACTGAAGCATTGCAGAGAGAGTCTAGGGAGTAGCCGAGGTCTTGAATGAAATTTCTTGATTATATCAAGCAGACAAATGCCAGGCAACAATCAATTGCTGTGACTGGTTATATGTTTAGTTATTGTTTTTGGCCAATGGTAAAGTTACAGTGGGAGGGTAAAAATTGCCTGAATTACGTAATCAGTGCTATAAATGAAATTTGATTAAATTGATAATGGTCACATTATTATCAATTTCTTCAAGTTTCTTTTACAGCATTGATTACGTAATTCCAACATTTTTTGATAGATCATAGCAGGTGAAAAGGAAATTTAATGCAGATTTTCTTGTCTGGCCTGATATATATATTGTATATGTATAATATCTATCTATCAGACAGTGAATGATTTTATAAAGAAATTAGATCTGAACATGGTAATTTGTAATGGAAATACAGTTCACTGGAAGCGCTGTTGAAAAAAATGGGAAGTTTGTATGCATTTACCCCATTGGACAAGATAAGCATTGACAAAGTTCTGAGTGATTGCTGAACTGGTGGATTTTTGGGCTGAAATCACTCATCTGCTTTAATAATTCATTTATATACTTATTTTAAACATACAATTTAATAAATATATCCCTTGAGAAACCATGTTTATGTCTGTTGATAAGTTTTAATTTTATTCATATTAAATAGCTATGACACACTGATAAAGTGCTGTCTGCTATGGAAATAACCTATATGCATAATTGTGATCAGCATTTGATTGCTCTTGTCTGCCTTGTCCTTTGTTATATGGTAGTAAAAATGCGTTAGTGTTTGTCTCTAATGCCAATGTACGCTATAAACACTGTGGAAAAGAGCATAACTAAAAAGCGAAAAACAGTGCGCATGTGATTAATATATATATGCAGAGGGTCCTTACCTGGAAATTTGATGTGATCCAAGTCCTGTGAAGAGACAACGCCAACCATAGAGGACTTCTAAAGATCTCCATATCCCTGGACCAGGCTGTATCCTGAGCAGATGCTGTGGCGGTCATGGAGGAGTGGAGAGCATGAGACTGATCCCTGAAAGACCTAGTGACAGACAAGTCTTTGCATTGACCTCGTAGGCCAGCCTGTGCACCCACCGGTGACCTACTCACACCTGCAGCTTCTCCACAATGGACGTCCATCGTTCTCTAGTTCCTGGCGCCTAGACTGCGGCTTTGCACAGTTTTATTCAGAGGAGAAATGGTCATGACCAACTAAGCCTGATCTCTCTTGAGGTTTTTTTCCCTCACTTTCGTCAATTGGCAGAGTTTTGTTCCTTGCCACTGGCTTGCTTGGTAGGAACTTCGATGGATTTGCTCTTCAGTGTTTGGGCTTTCAGCATTGAATATTAAACCACACTGAACTGAACTAATTTGAACTTTAACTCTGAAATATGGACTGATGCAGTTTCACTTTCAATTACTGGAATGTCTATGTTAAGCTGCTTTGATATAATCTACTTTGTAAAAGCGTTATAGAAATAAAGATGAATTAAATTGAATTTGTGCCTGTACAAGGGAAACTAAGTTGATGTTACCAAGGAACACTTTAGAAGGTCAGTTTAATCCTGCAGGTTAACTTGGATGTTTAGATGCTTTTTTTATTATTGTAAACAAGTTATAAATACGTAAATCTTGTGTTTTGTAATGCAGTAAACAATGACCGTTGTTGAGAACTGACTCCTGCTTGATCTTCTCTTCTTCAGGTTTTTGAGTCCTGCTGCTGATGAATTCTGTCAGTTTGTGACTGAAATTGTGGGTGAAAACCCATTACTCCTGACAGAACTGAATCTGAGTGATCATGAACTAGGAGACACACGAGTGAATCAACTCTCTGCTCTACTGCAGGATAAACACTGTAAACTCAACACACTCATGTGAGTATCTTACATCAGTCAACTTGTTGTTTGTCAGCAGCAGCTAGCTCTCTGCAGCTCTTACATGGTCACCACTAAAGCTAAGCAGTGTTGTGCTTAGGGGCTTCACTAGACTCCATTTAGTGTAAAACTTCGGCAGTATCCCAGTAAAAGCTTTAAGTCAAGTGTATTAATTAAAGGGGTGGTCCACTATGATATCATATTTTAAACTTTAGTTGATGTGTAATGTAGCTGAGTGAACATGAACAACATCTCTGAATGTAAGATGCCCAAAGTTCATTGCAAAGGAAGACATCGGCTGTTACAGAGTTAGCTTAGCAAAGCCCACAGTAAACAAACTTTGGGTAGTGCAAAAAAAATACGTCCGGGCTAGTGAGATCATAAAAGCTTCAGGTTACGCGCCTCTGCCAGACACATACACCCCGTGCACCAAAGGGTCATGACCAGAGGTACTGAAATGTTAGCAGAGAAAGCTAAAATGCCATCCAAATGCTGCAATTTCCACAGAGTTTTCTGTATTTATGAAAAATATGACACATGCTTCCTGCTAAATCCCAGTTGTTATGCAGGCAAAAAAAAAAAAAAACGCTGCTGAAGTACCGCTCGTGTGTTATGAAACTAGTTTGTTATGAAAAGCCTTTCATGCAGAAGTGCCAACATGACAAGCTGACAAAACTAAAGTTTAAATAATACAGGTATGATGACTAAGCTTAAGGCTCGTGATGGTTTTTATTGTATGAAGCAGAATGAAGAGATGTAAGGGAGGTAAGACTTAATAAAATACATTTTCAGCCATCAGAGTCAGGTCTCAGACAACAGATAATTATATGAAACTTATTTTTCTAGAATTGTCGTATGAAATTAATATTCAAGCAAAAGATTTCTTTGAGGATCTTAGCATATCATCCCAGTTGTGTCTTTACATTGATTTACAGTTATATGCAGGATTGTTTTTTATGTTAATTTTTTATAATAATAATTATATATTAATAATTGAGATAGGTCCTTGCCCAGTAGAGCTTTGTCTTACAACACCCCTGGTTGAGCCTGATCATTACCTGGATGGGAGGCCACAGCTTTTTTTTTTTTTTTAAGTAAATGAATATACCTTGAAGTCATCCATCATTCAACATTTTTTGTCCTCACTATATTGTCTTGCATGAACTTTAATTCATTCTCTTAATTATTAGACGTGTATTAGTAATATTTTAGTTAGTGTTAAAATTATATTTCAGTACTGCCATAATCACAATGTTTGACTAAGCCAATAGTGTAAAAACAAATTGTTAATGAGATGAATGTTATGTTCTCACTTCGTTCTGAGCCTCAAAACTTTATTATGATTAAAATGTGAATCTTCAGTGTTGGTGTTTATTTTCAGGCTCAGCAAGTGTGATCTAACAGAGGAAAGCTGTTCAGCTCTGGCTTCAGTTCTCAGATCAGACTCCAGCAGTCTGAAGAATCTTGACCTGAGCAATAATAATCTGCAGGATTCAGGAGTGAAGCTGCTCTCTGATGGACTGAAGGACAGTAAACTGGAGAAACTCAGGTGAGCTGATGTCTAATACATTCAACATTTCTTTTCTGGGTTTTTGTTAAGAGAAGATTTTATTTGCAAAACAAACTCCATTTCAGTAATTTTTAGATATATTTTACAAATGTTTCATATTATGTTTTAAAAAATACAATTGCAATAAAAATCTGTTTTTCCAAAGGAAATCTTTGAATTCAGTTTTATTTAATATATATATATATATATATATATATATATATGTATGTATATATATTCTTTAAAAACAGAATATTCATTTCAGTTTCAGACTTTTAGACTTATTAGTATTATACAGTTAATCAACTTACAAATGAGTCCATCGTGCTTAAACTTTTATTAAAATTTATTTTCAGTGATTCAGAGTTTTGTTTATTAACATGAACCACAATGTTACATTTATTTTTGAGTTTTATTTCCTCTAGTCTTTCAGACTGCAGTATCAGTGAAGAAGGTTATAAAGCTCTGGCTTCAGCTTTGAGATCAAACCCTTCACACCTGATAGAGCTGGATCTCAGAGGAAATGATCCTGGACCATCAGGTGTAAAGGAGCTCACTGATTTACTGCAGGATCCACACTGTACACTGAACACACTGAGGTGAGACATGAGGAGAATAAGCATGAAAGTCAACTATTTAAGGAGTATTTCACTGAAACGATGAGATGGACAATTTGTTGCATCAAAATCAGTCATACAAATGTCAGTAGAGTTTAGTCGTGTTTCAATATTCAGTACAAAATGAAAAACGTAATGGCTCACTGGATCTGCAGTTACTCTTTATTGTGATGCTTTGATAATAAAAATTAAAAAAATTGCACTTAATAAAAGCACTGATACTCTAGAAAGCCTGTTTGTAGAATAGTTTAAATGTTTCTGAACACGCTGCAAATGAAATGTCCTTCAGCTCAGATTGACTGTGAAGGTTTGACTCTACAGCAGGTCTGAGTCTCCAGATCTTCACACACATGCAGCTTCACAAAGCAAACTTTTCTGAACTTGTTTAGCTTAAAGTCGAAACATTTTGACTTTTTCTTTTGTATTTTCCTGGAAAATATAGTGTATACACTACAGTGAGCTTGACTCTTATGATCCCTGTACAGTTTAGTTTTTCAAAGTTTGTTTCAAAACTGAACAAAATCACTTTTTGCATCTAAGTCTACAAGCACAGTTTTAAAAATAAATGAATAAATAAATGAAAATATTTAACCTAAACTGAAATAAATGCGGGCAACGCAGTGGTGCAGTAGGTAGCGCTGTCACCTCACAGCAAGAAGGTCGCTAGTTTGAGCCTCGTCTGGGTCAGTTGGCATTTCTGTGTGGAGTTTGCATGTCCTCCCTGCGTTCGCGTGGGTTTCCTCCGGGTGCTCCGGTTTCCCCCAGAGTCCAAAGACATGCAGCACAGGTGAATTGGGTAGGCTAAATTGTTGGTGTGTGTGAGTGTGAATGAGAGTGTGTGGATGTTTCCCAGAGATGGGTTGCGGCTAGAAGGGCATCCTCTGGCGGTTCATTCCGCTGTGACGACCCCGGATTAATAAAGGGACTAAGCCGAAAATAAAATGAATGAATGAAATAAATGCAGTTTTACACTTTTTCACCAAAGGCATGTTTGAAAGCAGACACTTGGCAATGTGTTACTATCAGGCCAGAATTATACCTTGTCATAATGAAAATTTGTGAGGCTCTTAGAAATCTTTGTATGAAAAATGTCTTTTGCAGACTAAAAATTATAAATCTAAATCTCTGTTTCAATAAATATTCTTAAGATCAAGTCTTAAATACTCATACCACAATGCTAACTGATATTTATTCATATCTTCTGACTATGTAAAGCAAATGAGACAATAGATGAATGCCTTTTTCCTTAGCCATCAGAAATTCAAACAAATAAAGTGATCATTGTGTTAAAAACAACGTTTATTTAATTATAAGACATTACAGTCATCTTAATAAAGAAATCAAGTATTTTATGGTATTGATATTCTGTTTTAGAGGGCTAAGAGTGTGTATAAAAATAATAAAGCACAATGTTATAAATGAGTATATCTTGTCCTATGCACTCAGCATGTTTTGTACTGCAGTAAACAGTGACAGTAGTTGAGAACTGACTCCTGCTTGATTTTCTCTTCTTCAGGTTTTTGAGTCCTGCTGCTGATGAAGGCTGTCAGTTTGTGACTGGAATTGTGGGTGAAAACCCGTTACTCCTGAAAGAACTGAATCTGAGTGATCGTGAACTAGGAGACACACGAGTGAATCAACTCTCTGCTCTACTGCAGGATAAACACTGTACACTCAACACACTCATGTGAGTATCTTGCATATAAATGTAATTTTTATTACATGTCTACCAGTCAATGATAGCAAAGATATAGATCCTCATGTTTAAAATGACTCTGGTAAAGTTGAAGTACTGACAATTAAGGTCATCACATATAAGGAGAAAATGAGTGCATTTGCTCCAAAAAAAACAAACAACTATATTATTCATTAACCCAAACTAACCAAACTTAAACAAACGGGGCTCAAAAAAATGAGAAGTTCAATTACGAAAATAACTTTTTTCTTCTATTTTTTAAACGTTAAAATGTTGTTGCCCATTCCCAGTAGGAAAATAACTAAGCAACATTGCTGAACAAGTTGCTCCTTTTATCATCACCTTGACACAAACAACAAAAACTGTTCAGCATGTAGTTTTGCGGCTGTTAAATGAAGATCAACAGCTACCATTCCTCTTCATCTATTCATTCATTTATTCATTCGTTCATTCATTTTCTTTTTGGCTTAGTCACTTTATTAATCTGACGTCGCCACAGCGGAATGAACCGCCAACTTATTCTGTACATGTTTTACGCAGTGGATGCCCTTCCAGCCTTAACCCATCCCTGGGAAAATTCCTCTTCATACGTATTGAAAACAATTCTGCAGGCCTTTATCTTTATATAAAAAAAGAAATGTCCTAAATTTAACACCTAATTTTGTCTAAATGATCCTTTTTAATTTAATAAACTAAGTACGTTATGTATTTGACTACACATTTAATTCTTGCATTAAATATCTCTTCTTCATTTTCTTCAAACAGCGGCCCTCATGTAGCTCCCAAGATTTCAGTGTTTGTTTGCTTGTTTTGTTCAGTTTTTTTTCTCCATAAAGTTTTATATAGGATGATTATAGTCTCATTATTATTTACGAATGTACGCTATGTCATCCACATACTCCATTAATGTTGAATGTGCAGTTTTACATCCACAAATGTATGACTTTCAAACTGAGTCTGTGAATTTAAGATTTGCGCAAACTTGAACATGTTTGTAAAAACAAATATGATGTTTTGCATCCATGCATCTTAATTATCGTGTGCGAAAAGAAAGTTTTGCAATTGCGGATCAGGTGTGTTTGAATGGACTTTTTTTTTGAGTCTATACTGTTGTATTCTTTTGAATTTTGAAACTTTCTTTGTGCAGTTTAATGCTTTTCATCCATCAAACACAAACAACTTTACATGAAAAAAACAAAAAGTTCTTATTTAATATGTAGACATCTACCTACCAATTTGATAATCATGCGTTACTGCACTTCTGTATAATAATATATTCCTCGGTTGCCCTTTCAACATTTCATGATTTGTATTTCTCTAGATGTTTCATTTGTTTCAGTCTTGCTTTCTCTCTCTCTCTCACTCTATCTCTCTCTCTCTCTCTCTCTCTCTCTCTCTCTCTTTCTTTCTTTCTGCCAATGTAGGTTAAGCAGCTGTAAGATAACAGATGAAGGTTATTCTGCTGTGACTTCAGCTCTGAAATCAAACCCATCACACCTGAGAGAACTAAATCTCAGAGAGAATAAACTCGGAGGCTTTGGAGTGAAAAACCTCAGTGATTTATTGATGAAGCCACAATTCAAGCTGAAAATACTAGAGTTAGTATCATTATACTGTACAGCAGATACTGAGAGAATAATGATTATTATTCTATTTTTTTATACACTGGTATATTATGTGTATCAGTATCTGATAGTATCTAGAAAATCTAATAAATCTGATAAATCTACAATATCTGATAAATTTTTGCAGCAAAATATCATTTTATATATATATATATATATATATATATATATATATATATATATATATATATATATATATATGTCTTCAAGCCATTTAATAGTTGATTTTTTAATATTTAAATAAAACAAGAATATTTCCTTTTTCTTTCAGTAAAGATGTTCATAACTATTTTCCTAAATCCTTAATATATTCATGTTTATGCTTGTACACATTTACTTAACATTTCAGATGTTTTGTTGTGTTTTAATGACTGTATGGCCTTTATTCAGTTGAGTTAATTTTCCAATTTTAGATTAAGTAAGATCTGAATGGTTTCTCTTTCTCTCTTTAGTCTGTATAATTGCAGTATTACAGAGGAACAGTGTGAGATCCTGACTTCAGCTCTGAAATCAAACCCAACAAACCTGAGAGAACTGAACCTCAGCTGGAATAATCTAGGAGACTCTGGAGTGAAAAACCTCAATAATTTACTGATGGAGACACAGTTCAAGCTGGAGAAACTACAGTTAGTATCATTATTATACTGTACAGCAGATATTAAGTGATCAAAATTTACTGTTTAACATCTAAACGAGTTAAATTGTTCAATTGCAACTTCTGGCCATAAGTCATGATTGAAATCCAACAAGTCTGTGATTTATTTTAAAGTACTTTAAACAAATTGAAACAAACAGTTGAAAAAAAGTCTTGATTAAATGTTGTTCAACAGAAACATAATGAGATTTGCAGCTTCTGCTACAATAAATGAATGAGAGAAAGAAATGAGCTGAAAAGGTGACATAAAAATACACAAATATCCATTTATACGGATGCTGCTTGATACTCAAGTGAGAGTAGGTCTTCTGTCTGTTTGTCTGATGATGTGTTTAATGAATTCACACAAGCATTATTCATGTCTCATGAGTAAGAAACAATGAGAGTAAACACATTATTAACAGAGGCAGAGTCTGTGTAAGATAAGATCAACTTTGTGCTCATGTGCTCTAACTGGTTGGTTTAGACAGTGTTTCATTAACACTAACCTGCTGCCTATGATTGCTTAGAAAAGAGTAATAGCATTTTATTTTAAATGGATGAACTTTAAAATCATTTAACCTCACAATTAAAAGTTACCGCTGCAACACCGTGTCTTTACCATATGCTGATCTATAGTTACTTTAAACAAGTCTGATACAGGTGAAGCATCTAGTGCAGTTTCCTTTTCCTCTGATTTTAATTGTAGGTTTGGATAAAGAGATTTTCCATTCAGCTCATTTGTCTTTGCCTCCTCATCGATCACACTAAAAGATCTTTGACCTGAAGTCATGTTTGTCATGTGCTTCAAAGTTTTTTAATGTTTTTAGTCGAGCAATGCTCTTCAAATTCCTCTCTCCTTCCTTCAAGCTGCCCTTAATTTACAATTCATCCGATCTGCACATTTTTTTCACTAAAACACTATTCTCATACTTTACACTCCTTTATTTCCTTAGTTTTTTTTTTTTTTTTTTGGTCCAACACATGCTGAAATAAATACAGTCTGTAATAGTCTCTTTAGTCTCCTCCAAGTCCAGACAGTGAAAAATTTCCCAGTTGTTGCAAGAGAAGCCTTCCAGGTCTTTTAAGGTTTCAATGTCATCATTGTCATACATATACATCACTTTAGTCATTGTTTTTTTTCTGCACTTAAGCAGGGATTTACAGTCAGGTCCATAAATATTGGGACATCGACACAATTGTAACGTTTTTGGCTCTATACACCAACACAATGGACTTTGAATGAAACAAGATGTGCTTTAACTGCAGACTGCTTTACTGCAAATTCGAGGGTATTTACATCCAAACCAGGTGTACAGTGTAGGAATTACAACAGTTCACATATGTGCCTCCAACTTGTCAAGCCGCGGTCACACTGCACTTTTCACCACACAGACCTCTATTTATACACATGTGACTGTGGCAGTCTGGAAATGTAGGCTCCTATGACACGTTTCACATTTCACTGCATTGAGTGTTAAAGCTTGGTGAACTCTGACATGCGAAATTGCATCACATGATGGCATGAGACCAATAGAAGTTCAAAACGTGACCTCTCTGTATAGAAGTTTAAATATGGAGCAATTGCTCGCTTCATCAACATTGTTTATATCCTGCCCCGTTTCACAGCTCAGTATGACAGAATTTTGCAAGCACAAACTGTAGTGTGACCGCAGCTTTAAGGGACAAAACGTAATGGGACAATTGGCTTCTCAGCTGTTCCATGGCCAGGTCTGTTTTATTGCCTCATTATCCCAATTACAATAAGCAGATAAAGGTCAGAGTTCATTTCAGGCGTGATATTTGCATTTGGAATCTGTTGCTGTAACTCTAAACATGGTGATCTGTGGCTATCAGTCAAACAAGCCATAATTAAACTGACAAAACATTACAAACCCATCAGAATATTGCTGATTAGGAAAGGTGAATGCTGAATCTGTGTGCTTGCTTTTCTGTTCAAATCAACAATGCTTTATGATGATGACAATAACAAGTTAGATGTGTTTCTGCTGTAATGTAATGTATGAGTTCAGCTGCAGAAAATTCAGACACCATGAAGACTATATGCTGTATCACTGTAGCTCTTCAATAAGATGATCATCACAGATCTCAGTCATTGTCTTTTCTCTTTTTGTGTTCAGTCTGTATGGATGCAGTATTACAGAGAAACAGTGTGTGATCCTGACTTCAGCTCTGAAATCAAACCCATCACACCTGAGAGAACTGGAGCTCAGTATGAATAAACTAGGAGACTCTGCAGTAAAAAACCTCAGTGATTTACTAATGAAGGCACAATTCAAGCTGGAGAAACTAAAGTTAGTATCATTATACTGTACAGCAGATACTGAGAGATTAAAGATTATTATTTTGTATTTTGTATAGTATTATTATTAATGTTATTATTCTATTTTGTAATGGACTGATATGTCGTGTATCAGTAGCAAGATCTTTCAACTCTGAAATGTTATGAGCTTTGTGTAAATATTCTTATTCACTGAAATCTGATTAATCTTTACAGCACAATATCTGAGAAAAGATAGCTTTTTTATTGTTTTCAACTTATTCAATAATTTATTTTTTTTAATATGTAAATACAATAAGATTCTTTACTTTTGTCCTTTAGCGAAGATGCTAATAACTATTTCCTAAATCCTTGTTATTGTCATGTTTGAGCTTGTACAAATTAACTTTACTTTTCAGATGTTTTGTTGTTTATTGATGACTGTATAACCTTTATTCATGATGAGTTTACTTTGCATTTTTAGATTAAGGAAGATCTGAATCTTTTCTCTTTCTGTCTTCAGTCTGTTTAGATGCAGTATTACAGAGAAACAGTGTGTGATCCTGACTTCAGCTCTGAAATCAAACCCATCACACCTGAGAGAACTGGACCTCAGCTGGAATAAACTAGGACCCTCTGCAGTGAAAAACCTCAATGATTTTCTGATGAAGACACAGTTCAAGCTGGAGAAACTACAGTTAGTATCATTATACTGTACAGCAGATACTGTGAGATTAAAGATTATTTTAAGATAAGAAAAATCAACTGTCATTATTTATAACACTGCAGCTGCTGCTGATTCTTGATTCTGATAGATAACAGATTATATATCAAGCCATAATAATTGAAGTTTTGTTGTAAATAAATCTATTTCACATACTAAAACAAGTCACTGCACATTTATACTGGACACATGGTGCTTTTCACTAAATCTTATATTAAGATAAATGTGTTTTATTTTTTACTTTATAAACTACAGTCTAAAACCGAACATCACATGAATCTGACTCGATGCCTTTTCTCTTTCTGTATTCAGTCTGTGGTGTTGCAGCATTACAGAGCAACAATGTGTGATCCTGACTTCAGCTCTGAAATCAAACCCATCACACCTGAGAGAACTGAACCTCAGTAGGAATGAAATAAGAAACACAGGACTGAATCTCTTATGTGACGTACTGAAGGATTCACAATGTAAATTGGAGATACTAAGGTGAGAAACACTTAAATACTTTCACATAACCAATACTACCTTTAACTGCCTCACCAAGAAAAAGATATAGAAAATAGAAATATTTCTGGATTGCATTTCTTAACTCTTAATGTCGCCAGTTAACACAATTAATGTTTTTTTTTTTCGACACATCCCATAATTTCTAAAATATAAACCTCTGCCGAATGGTTGAAAATGTGAAGTGTAAGAGCAATTCATTTAAAAACATATTTATTTATTTAAAAGCATAATTCAAATAAAACATTTTACAGTGTATGAGTGTAGGTGAGTGTGTAAAAGACTGTATGCATATGTATATGTGTTTGTATGTGCGTGTGCCCATGTATGTGTATAACAACATCTGTATTACACAGATATTACAAGAAGATTTTGAATTATGTGGACATTATGTATGACTTTCAGTCATACAAATTTATTTTATTTTTTTTCAGAAAGTAAAACTAAACACAATTTGCTGTACCGTATGTTCACACCGAAAGCGGCGAGAGCGTCAAAGTAGCTGGAAGTCATTCATTTTCAATGAGAGCCGGCGGCGATAAGCGGCGAGGAGCAGCGCGGCGCGTCTTCGCCGGCGTGATCGTCGAGGAGAGTTAAAATAAAGTCCACTTTATGGTAATGAGCTATGACGCGGTTCGGCGGCAAGCAATCAGAATGAAGACGTCTATTGCTTGATAGCAGTTCAGAGAAATCAGACCTGTGAACTTTGGTTCCGACCACAGTTGTTCCCCTTCGGTTGGGGAACTTCAGTGCCATGAATGGGAGGATTCGGATCAGAAGCCGCTTATCTGGAGAGTATTGAACGGGCCAATGAATGAAATTAATTGGCAGCGTAAGCTTGCGCAGGTGTGCGACATCTGCAATTATCTCAGCATATAAGCACACCTGAAGCCAGCAGACGCCATCCTTTTCGCTTCAGATCCTTTCTGAGTGAGTCGATGAGGGTTCCTCTTGCTGATCAGCACTTCAGAGCGAACGAGTGTGTCTCCCGGTCCAGAGTGGGTCTTCGCGGTGGCAGACGGTCGAGCTGGGTTACTCCCTTGCCTGCGGTTCTTTGGGTCCGGTCCTCCAGAGCGGTGCGTATAGTTGCAACTTTCCTAAAAGAGCAACACAGTCGTGCAGCACGTCCTTTTCAGGATGGCGCTCCGACTGTGCGTTTCTGGATGCGGGGGTTTCCTGTCTCCGGATGATGGACACGATCACTGCATTGCATGTTTGGGGGTCCAGCATGTTAATGCGGTGCTCGCGGGCGGTTCATGTCGTCATTGCGATGCCATGACCGTTGCACAGCTAAGATCGCGGCTAACTTTCGCAAGAGAGCGAGCCACCCCAGTTGCCTCCTGCTCTAAAAAAGCAGCGGGCGCTCGGGCAGATCTGAGGGTTTCAGCGGGAGCTAATCCGCCGCCCACGGGCTTGCGGACCTCTCGCTCCTCACGGCGCTCCATCCAAGCTTCGGGTGGTGAGAGTGATCCGTCTAACCAGATGGTAGCTCTCACACTCGCTGACACCGGAGATCAGATGTCCTCCGCGGCATCGGAGGGTGGGCTTTCACTGTCCGACGAAGATCCGGACCCGCTCGCCCCCTCCGGGCAGGTGAGCGCTGTCAAATCGGATCCTGAAGCGGACATGTTAGCCGTGCTTTCCCGGGCTGCTTCGGCCGTGGGGTTGGAGATGGTTTATCCCCCAGCTCCGCGGCCGGACCGACTAGATGGGTGCTACGTAGAGGACCAGAAGGCGAAGCCTTCGAAGCCTCTCGTCCCCTTCTTCCCGGAAGTGCACAGTAGGCTCACGCAGTCCTGGAGGGCACCTTTCTCTGCCCGTGCTGCGAGTGCCTCCGCCCTCACCGCCCTTGACGGCGGAGCTGCCAGGGGGTATGAGGCGATCCCGTCAGTGGAGCGCGCTATCGCGGTCAATCTTTGTCCGCGCGGCGCCTCTACGTGGCAGGGTTTGCCCCGCCTCCCGTCCAAAGCCTGTAGGTTGTCTGCCTCCCTCGGAGCCAGAGCTTATAAGGCTGCGGGCCAGGCTGCTTCTGCTTTGCACGCGATGGCCACCTACCAGCGCTACCAAGCGCAGGCGCTGGCCGAGCTGCACGAGGGCGGGTCCAACCCAAGCTTATTACATGAGCTGCGCACCGCGACCGACTTTGCTCTTCGGACTACTAAGTCCGCCGCGTGTGCGCTGGGGAGGACGATGTCCACACTTGTGGTTCAGGAACGCCACCTCTGGCTAAACCTGGCCGATATGCGCGACGTTGACAAAGTTCGCTTTCTTGACTCGCCCATATCCCAGGCTGGCCTGTTCGGCGACACCGTCGGTGAATTCACCCAGGAATTCAAGGCGGTGAAAGAGCAGTCGGATGCGATGGGCAATGTCATCTATCGGCGTGGCCGTAAGCCCGCTCCGCCCGCCGAGCCATCCACCTCCGCTGTTCCTCGCCGAGGGCGCCCGCCAACGAGTGCTGCCCCGCCCCCGCCTGCGCCTCCGGCCAAGCGGGCGCGGCGTTCACCTCGAAAGCAGGCAGCCCCTCCTGCCCAGGGCGCCGTTAAGTCCGGTAAACGGACCGCGAAGCGTCCCTGAGACAGGCCATCCGGAGAAGAGGAAACTTGCTCTTTCCCCGCTGGAGGGCGGGGCCCCGATAACAACGGTACTTTTCAGTGCCACCAAAACATCAGTAAAAGAGCACTTTTTCCCTTCCCCGGATGTGACTGCACGAGTTCTGCCAGTCCGGGACGCGCTGCCTTCCGGCTCGCAGACTCTACGTGCTTCGCCAGTGGCTCACGAGCGCTGGGGGGACGGTCTCCCTTTTCTCAGCCCTCCAGCCCCCTCTCCGGAGTCAGGGTGCGGAGCCAGAGCGAATCGCTCTCCTCCAGCTCTTCCGCGGGACCCTCGTGCTTCCCGGATCAGCACACCCACCCACCGCTGGTACGTCAGCGATTGTAGCGATGACTCCATTAGCGAGGGCTCTGCCTGCCTGGTTAGCGCGGGCCAGCCCCTCGCGGTGGCTCATACGCACAATCAGACTCGGTTACGCGATTCAGTTCGCGAAACGGCCCCCCAAGTTTACGGGCGTGTATTTCTCCAGGGTCAACCCCCTGTCCGCCCCTGTCTTGCGAGAGGAGATTGCTGCCCTCCTGGCGAAGGGTGCAATCGAGCCGGTTCCTCCAGCCGAGATGGAGAGTGGGTTTTACAGCCCATACTTCATCGTACCCAAAAAGAGCGGTGGGTCACGGCCAATCCTAGATCTGCGCGTTTTGAACCGCTGTCTGCACAAGCTGCCGTTCAGAATGCTCACGCAGAGGCGCATTCTCCAATGCGTTCGTCCTCGGGATTGGTTTGCAGCCATAGACCTGAAGGACGCGTATTTCCATGTCTCCATTCTTCCACGCCACCGCCAATTTCTGCGGTTTGCGTTCGAGGGTCGAGCGTGGCAGTACAAGGTCCTCCCCTTCGGGCTCTCTCTGTCTCCGCGGGTCTTCACCAAACTCGCGGAGGGTGCCCTAGCGCCCCTTCGGCTCGCGGGCATTCGCATACTCAATTATCTCGACGACTGGCTGATTTTAGCCCACTCGCGGGAGCAATTGATTATGCACAGGGACAAGGTGCTTCGGCATCTCCGCCTACTGGGGCTTCAGGTCAACCGAGAAAAGAGCAAACTCGCCCCCGTGCAGAGGATTTCTTTTCTCGGGATGGAGCTGGACTCGATCACCATGGTAGCGCACCTCTCCGAGGAACGCGCTCGCCTGTTGCTGAACTGTCTGAGGGAGCTCGACAGCAAACTAGTGGTCCCACTGAAGTTCTTTCAGAGGCTCCTGGGGCATATGGCATCCGCAGCCGCCGTCACGCCGCTCGGGTTGCTCCATATGAGACCACTTCAGCACTGGCTTCACGATCGGGTCCCCAGACGCGCATGGCACGCGGGCACACACCGGGTCTCGGTTACTGCGCTGTGTCGCCGCGCCCTCAGCCCTTGGAACGACCCCTCGTTCCTACAGGCCGGTGTGCCTCTAGGACAGGCGTCCAGCCATGTTGTTGTTTCAACAGACGCTTCCAACACGGGTTGGGGGGCCGTGTGTCGCGGGCATGCGGCTGCGGGCCTCTGGAAGGGTGCCCAGCTGCATTGGCATATCAATCGCCTAGAGCTGTTGGCAGTGTTCCTCGCTCTCCACCGCTTTTTACCGGTGCTGGAGCGGCAACACGTGCTGGTCAGGACGGACAGTATGGCGGCGGCGGCGTATATCAACCGCATGGGGGGTATGCGCTCTCGCCGCATGTCTCAGCTCGCCCGCCGTCTGCTCCTCTGGAGTCACCCGCGGCTGAAATCGCTGCGCGCCATTTACGTCCCAGGCACGCTCAATCGTGCAGCCGATGCGCTCTCACGACAGCTGTTACGCCCTGGAGAATGGAGACTCCACCCCGAGTCTGTTCAGCTGATATGGGCGCGATTCGGGGAGGCCCAGATCGATCTGTTTGCTTCCCCCGAGAACGCTCACTGCCAGTTGTTTTTTTCCCTGACCGAGGGCTCTCTCGGCACGGATGCACTGGCCCACAGCTGGCCTCGGGGCATGCGCAAGTATGCGTTTCCCCCAGTGAGCCTGCTCGCGCAGTTTCTGTGCAAGGTCAGGGAGGACGAGGAACAGGTTCTGCTAGTTGCGCCCCTTTGGCCCAACCGGACCTGGATATCAGAGCTCTCACTCCTCGCGACGGCCCTCCCCTGGCGGATCCCTTTGAGAGAGGACCTACTCTCTCAGGGACAGGGCACCATCTGGCACCCTCGCCCCGATCTTTGGAACCTCCACGTGTGGTCCCTAGACGCGAGGAAGACTTAGGTAACCTACCGACTGCGGTGGTTAATACCATCACTCAGGCTAGAGCCCCCTCCACGAGGCGCGCCTACGCCCTGAAGTGGAGTCTATTCACTGAATGGTGCGTCTCTCGCAGAGAAGACCCCCGAAATTGCCAGATTAGTGTTGTGCTCTCTTTCCTTCAAGAGAAGTTGGACAGCAGGCTGTCGCCCTCCACTCTCAAGGTTTACGTGGCCGCCATCTCCGCTTATCATAGCGCGGTAGCTGGCGGCACCGTGGGAAAGCATAACCTGGTCATCCAGTTCCTTAGGGGTGCTAGGCGAATTAATCCATCTCGCCCCCCTCTCATGCCCTCTTGGGATCTCGCCCTCGTTCTCACGAGTCTGCGATCCGATCCCTTTGAGCCACTCGAATCAGTATCTCTAAGATTTCTGTCCCTGAAGACAGCTCTGCTGGTTGCGTTGGCCTCCATCAAGAGGGTCGGGGACCTGGAGGCATTTTCAGTCAGTAACTCGTGCCTGGAATTCGGGCCGGATTACTCTCACGTCATCCTGAGACCCCGCCCCGGTTATGTGCCCAAGGTTCCTACCACCCCCTTTAGAGATCAGGTAGTGAACCTGCAAGCGCTGCCCCCGGAGGAGGCAGACCCAGCCCTTTCTTTAATTTGTCCAGTTCGCGCTCTGCGCATTTATGTGGACCGTACTCAGAATTTTAGATCATCTGAGCAGCTCTTTGTCTGTTATGGCGGTCGCCAGCAGGGAAGTGCCGTATCAAAACAAAGATTATCCCACTGGATTGTGGATGCCATTTCACTCGCTTATTCGAGTCGAGGTCAGCCGTGTCCCCCGGGAGTTCGTGCACACTCCACTCGGAGCGTTGCATCCTCTTGGGCGCGTGCACGCGGCGCCTCTCTAACAGACATCTGTAGAGCTGCGGGCTGGGCGACACCCAACACATTTGCAAGGTTTTACAATCTGCGAGTGGAGCCGGTTTCCTCAAGGGTATTAGGTAACCCTTTGGTGATTGAGGAGACAACTCGGTAGGGTGTTGAAACACGCTTGCGGCGCCATTCTCCCTAACACGGAGGTACGTGCGCCTTTTTTATCTGTCAGTAAAGTTCCCCGTCAGGTGAGCCCTGCAGATTCCTCCGTGGCCCCCAGCACTGACTCAGCGGAGGAGTCACTTGCTGGCCCACTACGTTGTAGGTCTGCCCGCTGGTCAGCCCGCGTTTTGGGTATAGGTGCCTGCTATGCGTGATCCCCACTAGGCGATCCCATATGCTTATTCCGCCACGGTTAAGTCCCCCCCCTGGGTGGACCCGTGTCTTCCCTCTCCGCTAACCACTCTTTTGCTATGCGTACTCCCCCTTTTTAGGGCTAGTCCATAGGTAAATTCTGCCATCTATCCCCCCCTTGGGTAACGGATGGCCTCCGCAGCGTCCTCCCTATCGGGATTGCACGCTTCCCAACGTACTGTCGTATTTCCTAGAATTATCTAGATGCTCACGACTTCCCAAAAAATATATCTAAATCCGTAAAACTTCTGTTGAAGTAGGATAAATTAGGGCCAGGGACACGTTGGAGGACCACGCCCCCCATGATGTGGGTGCGTCACGCTTGCTTGACTATCTCCTCATCGGGGGTGTTGGTAAGGTGCAGTCATTATGGCGCTTTCCATATTCTCCCATTCATGGCACTGAAGTTCCCCAACCGAAGGGGAACGTTCGAAGTTACAGAAGTAACCCTTCGTTCCCCGAGGAGGGGAACGGAAGTGCCATATTCCGTCGCCATAATGACTGTCCCTTAGCTGTTTGAAAGTCTCTTCAGCTTAAAAGGATGGCGTCTGCTGGCTTCAGGTGTGCTTATATGCTGAGATAATTGCAGATGTCGCACACCTGCGCAAGCTTACGCTGCCAATTAATTTCATTCATTGGCCCGTTCAATACTCTCCAGATAAGCGGCTTCTGATCCGAATCCTCCCATTCATGGCACTTCCGTTCCCCTCCTCGGGGAACGAAGGGTTACTTCTGTAACCTCGAACGTTCCCAAGGGTTTAATTATTGTGGTCGCCGGATTTCCAATTATTTCCAATTTTTTCCTACAGGAACATACATTAAATAAGTTACTGGCGAGTTACTGATGTTCATTAATGTTATATAAATTTACCTTAAAAAAGCGGGAATCTCACGCGATGTGACAGTACAAAACAGTACTGCTGCTTCAGGATATTTCAGACATAGGGACACATATTGAATAAATAGAGCAAAGCCACACCACACGCAACTTGATCTTCCATTGTTGTATGAATTTGATAAGAAGTGCGCAACATTTTCACGCTAGAAACATGTTTTATGCAGGAATGTAACTGATATGCTGCAACGGCTCCTTTAAATATGAGATCAATGTAGCGAGTTTTGACGCTCTCGCCGCAGGAGCTGAAGGCAGAGAGCGTTGTCACCACTAATTCTCCAGTTATAGTTGCTGTGGCCATTTTGAGAAAGTGTACTTTCTCAAAATTATTTAGTTAAAAAATTACTTGTTTTTGTTTTTGTTCTTTTCAATTTGTTATTTGTCGACCACAAGGCTGTGGTAAATGAGACGGTAGAACTTCAAATATTGTTGTTGGGAAAAAATCTCTTTTTGGAACAAAATTAATTTGGTATAGTTTGTATCTCTTAATGTATTTTTGTTGGTGAATTATCTTAAAAATAAATAAGAATAACATTACAGTGGAGGTGAGAGAAATTATGTTTAAAACAAAGCCCACTGTCATGCTTCCACAGCCAAATTAAAGGCCAGAACAATAGTTATGGTCTAGTTGTAAAAATAGTTCATGTTGCTTCATGAGTGAAATAATATGCAGCTACACATATAATAAAAACACCAGCAAGGACAGAACTCAACCTGCTGCTGTAAACTGCTCAATGATATGAAGTAATGTTGGATTCTTTTTAAGGTCAACCTCTGCTCATTACCTGATCTCACTATTATTATTAATAATATTATTATTATTAAATAATAAAAGGTTGGATTAAAAAGCTATGTCTAAGTTTTATACTGAAAATCCCACCTAAATGTTAAACTATAATACTTTATATTCAGTGTCTCAAATTCTTCATAATTATTAATCAATAATTAATCCATTGTTTATAGGTTAATAATTCAGGGGTGTAAAAGTCCAGTAATTCTGAAGGTCTTGAGGATCATGAATTAAAGCAGAAGCTGAAAGTCTTGATCATCATTTCACAATCAGTATCACTCATTTCTTTCTTTCTCTCTTTGTTTGTCTGTTTTTAGCCTCTGGAACTGCGGCATCACAGATGTTTCTTCTTTAACTCAGTGTTTGATGAACACAAAAGCTCTGCGGTTTCTAAAAGTGCTTGATCTGAGCTACAATCCTATTGGAGGCTCAAAGCAGGAGCTCATTGATGTGATACAAGACTCAAACTGTAAACTGATGTGAGTAAACAACACTGATATTAAAGATCTTCATTTTCCTCTGATATGTGAACAAATCTTTCAGATGTGTCTGAGAGGAAATGATCAAATGATCATCAAGCTTTGTTTGATGAGCACAAAGTGTGCAGTGTCTGCAATAGATGAAGAGAAAGGAGGAAAGAGCAGAAGAGCTGTGAGTCAGAGCTTTATCCAGCAACAGCTGCTTTAATAATGTCTTCAGCAGTGAAACATTACAGTCTGAAATAGTCTTGGACAGACTGTAGAAAACACTGGTCAAATCAGTGCAGATTCAGCTTCAGCAGCACATCAGCAATGACTCTCGCTCTTCTGGAATCGTTCTAGATCTTATGCACTCTGCTGTTCCACATATGAGCTTTACAATGTGCAGAATTTAGAATCAAACTAATAGAGTTTCAAACTAAAACTCTAAATCAGACTCTTTCTTTAACTGAAGATTGATGTGTTGCCCTGAGAACTAAAGCAGAATACAGTGTAAAGATCTAAAGCTGTTCAAAAGCTCACTCCAGGGAGACATTAGAGATAATCAAAACTTCCGCAAAAACAAGTGAAACAAATATTGTTTTTAAGATAGCAATGTAAAGCTATAAAACATATTTAATGTATTTAATGTAACAGTCTTTTGCTCAGAAATCATTCATTTAAATGTAGTGACTAATGTTCCACTTTGTTTTTCTGAACACTGACTGTTTTCTCTTCTGGTTCTGCTTTTCAGACTTAAATAGCTTCTGCATTTTCAGTCAAGAATCCCTCTCTCAGTCTCAGCTTTTGATGGCAGAATCTAGAGTTTCAGCACAGAGGTAATGTATTGTAATGCTGGTGTGGAGATGTCTGGACCCAGAGCTGCTCTCTGAGAAAACAAAGACTTTTTCTGGAAATAAACATTTGAACTTTGTATGGAAACGTTACGGTACTCCTCTGAGATGAAGTGAGAATGAGTAGATCAGAGTCTTCTTCATCTTCATCTGCTGTGTTTCTGCTCTCCTTCAGTCTGAACTCTCTCTACATGCTCAGATCAAACTCAAATGTTTGGCATAATTAGACTGACATAATTCAAGTTGACCTTTAAAGCACTTTTAACTATAATTATAGTTTCAATTTGCAAAAGGTGAGTGTTGTTACAATAATAAACAAACTTAGAAAAAAAATGTATAGAGTTGTGAATAGGTGGACTCTACAGCTATCAATCGTTTACACAGTCCATCATGTGTAAATGCAGATTAACTTTTCAAAGCAGTGATATCGATGTATATAATATACAGTTATGTTTATATTTTTTTAAATAATTAAAAGTACTTTTTATATTGATCAATAGTTTGTGCTGTCCTTGGCATATTTTCTTCACAGGTCTTCGATTTGATCAATCTCTGAATGACTCAAAGGATGATGACAAAGTAAATAAATTTGAATAGCTGTAGATCATGATATAATCATTTTCTTGACAGATTAAGAGGTTTTTTTTTATAGAGGATGCAGAACATTACAGTAATCCAGTCTAGAGCCCATCAAAACATCAACCAAGTCTCTGTAACGGGGAGACTGACACGGAGGGATCCATTATGCAGTATTTATTAGGCAGTCAAACACAAACATCCAATACGCACTAAAGTGCGAACACACATCAACAGTAATCAATAATGATCTTGGGGCTGGCGGCTGACAGACACAGAGTGATTTACCAGGCATAGATCAGTGGCAGGCGGCGTGGTTCAGAATCCGTTAAACAGGCTTGGGTCAAGGGCAGGCAGCATGGTTCAGAGTCCGTGTATCAAGCAAGGGTCGTGGGTAGGCAGAAGGCAAATCAGAGTCAGAAACAGTCCGGTGTTATACACAGAAACTCAGGCAGGAAAGACCGCTCAGTAATGCTGGCCAAGGCTGAACAAGACTTTGCACTGAACTGGAGTTTAAGAGTGGCTTATATAGGGAGCGTGGGTCGTTAACTAGATTCAGTTCAGGTGTGTGCACAATCAGTATAGATGGATGATGTAATGCTTAAAAGTCCGGGGATGGTGACCTCTGCTGGCCAGCGAGGGGAATGACTGGGACCGAGTCGATGGCAGTCTTCATCATGTTAGAAAGATGCCATATTTCTAAGCTTAGCGATATTCCTTATATGAAAGAAAGCTGTTTTTGTGAGGTGAGATATGATTTTCACAAGTGACCTTGCTGTCTATTATAACACCCAGATCTTTGACTGAAGAACTAATATTAATATTGTATTCCTCTAATTACAGGTTGTGTTGTGAGATCTGCTACATACAGTTTTTGGCCCCTTAAGTAAGTAAGGCCCAGTCTTTCTTGAGTTTATTAGAAAACATTGTTGTCATCCAGTCTTTTACATCTTTACACACAGTTATTGTAGATAGTTTAGACATCTTCTCAGACTGGAGATATTCATATTATCAGCAAAGCAACTACTCAATACTTGTTACATTTGGCAGTTGTACATTTACATCTATCAAATGGTAATTAGTGCTCATATTTCATTGTTTCTTTATGTATTTTTTTCTCTAAACAATGTTTGTTAAAGTACAACTTTTTTAAAGTTACATTTATTCATTCATCCACTTACATTCATTCATCCACATGCATTTATTTATTCATTCATCCACATGCATTTATTCATTCATCCAAATACATTTATTCATTTATCCACATTCATTCATTCATCCACATGCATTTATTCATTCATCCACATGCATGTATTCATTCATCCAAAAATGTATTCATTTATCCACATAAATTTTTTTCATCCATCCACATACATTTATTCATTCATCTACATACATTTATACATTCATCTACATACATTTATAGATTCATCCACATACATTCATTCATTCATTCATCCACATGCATTTTTTTCATTCATCCACATACATTTATTCATTCATCTACATACATTTATTCATTCATCTACATACAATTATTAATTCATCCACATACATTTATACATTCTTCTACATGCATTTATTCATTCATTCACATACATTTATTCATTCATCCATACATTTATTCATTCATCCACATATATTTTTTTCATCCATCCACATACATTTATACATTCTTCCGCATACATTTATACATTCATCCACATACATTTATACATTCTTCCACATGCATTTATTCATTCATTCACATACATTTATTCATTCATCCATACATTTATTCATTCATCCACATATATTTTTTTCATCCATCCACATACATTTATACATTCTTCCACATACATTTATACATTCATCCACATACATTTATACATTCATCCACATACATTTATACATTCATCCACATACATTTATACATTCATCCACATGCATTTATTCAATCACCTATACATTTATTTATTCATCCACATACATTTAATCATTCATCTACATACATTCATTAATTCATCCACATGCATTTATTCATTCTTCCACATGCATTTATTCATTCTTCCACATGCATTTATTCATTCTTCCACATGCATTTATTCATTCTTCCACATGCATTTATTCATTCTTCCACATGCATGTATTCATTCATCCACATACATTTATTAATTCATACTCATACATTTATACATTCATCCACATGCATTTATTCATTCATCCATACATTTATTCATTTATCCACATACATTTATTCATTCATCCACATACATTTATACATTCTTCCACATACATTCATTCATTCATCCATCCACATGCATTTATTCATCCATCCACATACATTTATTAATTCATCCACATACATTTATTCATTCGTCCACATACATTTAATAATTCATCCACATGCATTTGTTCATTCATCCATACATTTAATAATTCATCCACATACATTTATTCATTCATCTACATACATTTATTTATTCATTCACATGCATTTATACATTCATCCACCTGCATTTATTTATCCATCCACATACATTTATTAATTCATCCACATACATTTATTCATTCATCCATACATTTATTCATTCATCCACATACATTTATTCATTCATCCATACATTTATTCATTCATCCATACATTTATTTATTCTTCCACATACATTTATACATTCATCCACATACATTCATTCATCCACATTCATTTATTCATTCATCCATACATTTATTCATTCATCCACATACATTTATTCATTCATCTACATAAATTTATTCATTCATCAACATACATTTATACATTCATCCGGATTCATTCATTCATTCATCCACATGCATTTATTCATTCATCCATACATTTATTTATTCATCCTCATACATTTATACATTCATCCATACATTTATTCATTCATCCACATGCATTTATTCATTTATTCACATTTATTTATTCATCCACATTCATTTATTCATTCATCCACATGCATTTATTCATTCATCCACATACATTTATTAATTCTTCCACATACATTTATACATTCATCAACATACATTCATTCATCCACATTCATTTATTCATTCATCTACATACATTTATTTATTCATCCACATACATTTATACATTCATCCGCATTCATTCATCCACATGCATTTATTCATTCATCCATACATTTATTCATTCATCCACATACATTTATTCATTCATCTAAATGCATTTATTCATTCATCCTCATGCATTTATTCATTCATCTACATAAATTTATTCATTCATCAACATACATTTATACATTCATCCGCATTCATTCATTCATTCATCCACATGCATTTATTCATTCATCCATACATTTATTTATTCATCCTCATACATTTATACATTCATCCGCATTCATTCATTCATTCATCCACATGCATTTATTCATTCATCCATACATTTATTTATTCATCCTCATACATTTATACATTCATCCATACATTTATTCATTCATCCACATGCATTTATTCATTCATCCATACATTTATTCATTCATCCACATACATTTATTCATTCATCTACATACATTTATTCATTCATCCATACATTTATGTATTCATCCTCATACATTTATACATTCATCCATACATTTATTCATTCATCCACATACATTTATTCATTCATCCACATACATTTATACATTCATCCGCATTCATTCATAGACATGCATTTATTCATTCATCCATACATTTATTCATTCATCCACATACATTTATTCATTCATCTACATACATTTATTAATTCATCCACATAAATTTATACATTCGTCCACATGCATGTATTCATTCATCCTCATGCATTTATTCATTCGTCCACATTTATACATTATTCCACTTGCATTTATTCATTCATCCACATGCATTTATTCATTCATCCACATGCATTTATTCATTCATCCACATGCATTTATTCATTCATCTACATACATTTATTCATTCATCCTCATACATTTATTCATTCATCCACATACATTTATACATTCTTCCACATACATTCATCCACATACATTCATTCATTCATTCATCCACATGCATTTATTCATTCATTCACATACATTTATTCATTCATCCTCATACATTTATTCATTCATCCTCATACATTTATTCATTCATCCTCATACATTTATACATTCTTCCACATACATTCATTTATTCATCCACGTTCATTCATTCATTCATTCATCCACATGCATTTATTCATCCATCCACATACATTTATTAATTCATCCACATACATTTATTCATTCGTCCACATACATTTAATAATTCATCCACATGCATTTGTTCATTCATCCATACATTTATTCATTCATCCACATACATTTATTCATTCATTTACATACATTTATTTATTCATTCACATGCATTTATACATTCATCCACCTGCATTTATTCATCCATCCACATACATTTATTAATTCATCCACATACATTTATTCATTCATCCATACATTTATTCATTCATCCTCATACATTTATTCATTCATCCACATACATTTATACATTCTTCCACATACATTCATCCACATGCATTTATTCATTCATCTACATACATTTATTCATTCATCCTCATACATTTATTCATTCATCCTCATACATTTATTCATTGATCCACATACATTTATACATTCTTCCACATACATTTATACATTCATCAACATACATTCATTCATCCACATTCATTTATTCATTCATCCATACATTTATTCATTCATCTACATACATTTATTTATTCATCCACATACATTTATACATTCATCCGCATTCATTCATCCACATGCATTTATTCATTCATCCATACATTTATTCATTCATCCACATACATTTATTCATTCATCTACATACATTTATTAATTCATCCACATACATTTATTCATTCATCCACATGCATTTATTCATTCATCCTCATGC